TTGTGTGTGTGTGCGTGTGCGTGCGTCTTGTGCAGCTTGTGATCGATGCAGCTCTGCATCTGCGCGCGTCAGATACTGGGCAAGCCGCTGGATCCAAGGGGATATCGCTGTCCGATGATGGTACTTGCAGAGAGAATATGGAAGCAACACCAATTGCTTATCTAATAAGTCCAATTTCTAGTGTGAGGCAAATTTCACTTGCAATAGCTTCCAAGCTTGCAGGAATGCATCCACAGGGTAGTTTTGTGCCCGCAGAACGGTCTGAGATTATCCCGTGTGGGACCGTGTTTGTGCATAGAGTGCAGGCACGTATCAGACTCGATGTGAGTGATAACCACCCTCCCGAGAGGACGATCTGCCTCCATCTGCCTGTCTGCTATGCTATCCCAAGCTTGGATCCAAGGACCGCCACGAGACTGTGCTGACAGTCTTCATTTTTTTGCTGAAGTGTGGTGCTTTCTTCTCATGTATGATTTTATTCTTCAATTCGTGATTCCAACTTTTGATGTATTCTTGTTTATATCTTTTGGCTTTGTTGTTGGTTTCGCAATCCTTGCTTGTAGGACTGAATGGAATGGTAGCAAGACCAGAGAGAATGCTGTCAGATACATCTGTGTGTGGATGACAACTCATGCTCTGTGTGTGTGTGTGTGTGTGTGTGTATGCGGTCTCTTATACACATCTAGATGTGTATAAAAGACAGCATAAATCGAGGAAGGTCCAATAAAAAAAAAAAAAAAAAAAAAAAAGGTTGTTCAGTTTATTCTTCCGCAAAATGTACTTTTTTTTTTTTTTTTTTTTTTTTTTTTTGCGCTGGGACAATTGCTCCTGGTCCTTCACGGCCAGGTGACCCGGTCGGCCCGGCTGGTAATCTAGCTTGTCAAGGAATTCTCGTCTCGAGACAGTTATGTTCATTGCATCATTTTCTCGATAGTCTTTGTCATCATTATCCTTCCATCCTCGTCATTGTCATCGTCATCTTCATCTTCATCTCATCATCATAATCACATCATCATCATCATCATCATCATCATCATCATCATCATCATCATCATCTTGGCCGCAGCATCTTCATGGTTGTGGTCATCACCACCATGGTTGTGATCATCACGGCCGTGGTGGGCGTCATAATCATCACTGTGGCAATGGGGATTGTAGATGATCGATTGCATCGTCTCCTCTGTCATCGTTTTCTCACCATTGCTGTTCTCGCCAGAAAAATCATCATCATCATCATCAGCAGCAGCAGCAGCAGCAGCAGCATCCCCATCATCATCATCCACATCGCCAACAAGAAGGACAACAATAAAAACAACGGCTACAACAACACTGCAACCAGCACAACTTTGCCCTCGTAATGATCTCCGATGGAGAAAGGCAGTTTTTGTGTGTGCAAGGCACTGCAAGCTGAAACTCGTCTTTGTTATGTGAAATGCAACAA